CCCTGAACTTTCTGTCACCACCAATAAGGATATTTTTGGCTCTGCAAATAAAAAGACAATTCCTTATTGTCTGAATGTAATACAGTCTTCATTGTACTATTCAACCCTTTGTTTATTTCTTTTTTCATTTTGTGAAAAAAAACCCGGGTTAGGCCTCTTAGATTATTGCTTATTTATGTGTAACAAATCCCACACATTCTAATGGAAAGTTCTTCAGTTCTTCCTGGTCATATAATATATTTCCATGGTATCATATAGTATTATTTACTGTTTACAAGACTCAATTTTGAATTCAAGATTAAAGCACTCCTTTTATTCTTTCAAACAGATATTTTGCAACTTGATCCTATAAAAGGTCTGTCACTCTTCATCTGCGGAACCTATAGATTTCATTCTTGAACATGCAAGTTTTCAGAATAAAGCTAGGGAAATCAGGTGTCTACTGATAAATTTAGGTAAAAGACTGGTGCATTATGACAATTTCCTATTTATTTAAATCCTCTAAATCATTTCACCTGGACAACCTATTTTCTTTTCTGGATTACTGATGACCCCTACGATTTTCTACCTAACTTCAAAACACGGTGTTGTGTTACCTGTCATGGAACAGGAGCGAATTGTTAGCCTGCCGTCAGCAGTGCCTGCATTTTTAATTGTTCCAGCAGAAGCATTGAATTCCTGTGGAGGTTGAGTGACTGGGTGGTCTGTGGCCACAGTCTATCGTGTCATATGGCCAAGCGGCTGGCTCTAATGGGGATCCAACACATAGTAACCCTGGCCTTGTCAGTTTTGTGGCTCTTACCATATAGTTAACCAACCATGAAAGATTTTGTCAACCATGACTTTTTTGGGGTATGTTCAATGAATCAATGCCTAGTGCTTAGGGATGAGGCAGTGTAGCTACAGAAGAGCACTGAAACTACTCTTCGACATTAATTCCCATTGCCCTGGGCTGCCATCTTACACTAAGGCCACAGAGTTAAGTGATCATAAGTAACACGATGAGGTTAGGTGACTGTTTGATTTTTTGTAACCTAGGAAAGGCAAAGGAATGGTTCTAATCTCATGAGGGATATGTAACATATTAGACCCTCCTACAGGACAAGTTAGAACACAAATTGGTAACCATACTGGAAGATTCACTGCTTTTACGATTCCAGGGTCGGGGTAGAAGAAAGGCTCTGGTACCTGGTAGGAGGGAGAATTGATTTATTGTGAGAATGTTGATATTTCTTACATGACTTTTAATTTTTCTTGGTTTTGGGGTGAACAGGAATTAATAAAAGCTCTATTTCTTTGTCAATATAAAATTTACCTTTCATATAATGCTACATTTGAAGACACGGAATATGTCAGAATCTATCTATCATCTGTCTACAATTTAAATAAAGAACTGCTATGTCTGACTTGCTCTCAATAAAGGTTTGTGTCCTTGTTTTTGGTGTCTAGAATTTATTCTCTTTCACTGCACTTTAAAATTTAGGAAGAACCCTTGCCTGTCAGCAGCTATTAAAGACCATTAGTAAATGTGGCTTCAGAAATCAAGAGAACACCTTATTTAAATTCAAAAAGGCATTATTTATTTCAAAAAGGTCTTAAAATGATTGTGTACACCATTGCAAAAAAAAGATTTCTGGCAGGTAGATATGTAATGTTCATGAAAAATTTGTAATATTTTTATAGGAACTGAGCTCTTGTTTTAGATACATCTTAACTCGAACAACTTGATAAAAATATATATGTCTTTATAGCCATTTAAACCATGGTGACACTTTTATAATAATTGTTTCTGCATATTTACACGGGGTAGTACTTCTGGCGCATTTTCAAATGAAGAACGGACATTTAAGTTTTTCAGAGTGATAGGAAAAACATTTAAAATAAGTAATAATAGAGAATTACGGAAAAAGATGAAGCACCAGAGTATCATAAAGAAGAAATATGTTTGACCACATGAAAAAGGCAACTACTTTTAAAGGCTTAACTTTCATTGCTCTATAAAAACAAGAAGGCTATAAAAAGTAATGTCAAAAGTTATAGCAAACATTTGCCAATATTAAAATATCAGACAGTAACATAGTAAATATGAATACCAAAATGTGTATACAGCTCATGAGGAACATGAGTGACTAAGCCATACAATCAACATAAACAGAGCGACACGGGTAGTGATCAACAGCAGAAATGACCCAACAGATACATGGCAAACTACAAAACCAAAGGACAATACCTAGTAATTAACTGCCAGTATGGGAGAATTTTGGAGATGAATTTGGAAAGTAATCTGAATTTTTAGTTAGCAACTTAAAATTACATATTTGAGTCCTTCTTTACAATAACTTAAGTTGGGAGAGGCAGAAAAATGGGTACTTCAAAAATGTTCAAACTAACTCCAAATCCCTTTATATTCCATAGTTCCAATCTTGTTCTCCCATCAACAGAAGTTTTTAGGTAATTAATAAGAAAACTCACTAATTTGACCTTTGCCTTCTCTTCTTTTTCTGTCCATTTCTTACAGCTAATTTGTATAAAACTAGCAACATTTGAGCAGTTGTTTGAAGGAAGAGAATTAAGGCATGTGCATAATCCTAAGTGAATAACAAATATCTTGATAATTTAGAGCTTGCATACTCCCTTCAAGTATGGAAAACAACATCCAGAGTGAAAGTCCATTGGAGATACTTTTGTCCAGAAGGTCAGATGTAGACAAAGCTGTGCACTTAAAAGAATTAAAAATATCCAAAAGCATTTCATAGTTTTCTTTACACTTTTATGTAGAAACTCTTAGTCTTATTCTCTCCTGCTTCAAAGCATAAAATGTAGACTCACATATATAATTACATATACAGACATAATATATGAATATATACACACATTTATCTATATGAATATATATGTATATATACATATATATTTACGAAGATCAATTTGCTTTTGGTCAAGTAAAGATAGTTTAGGCTTTCAAAAAATTAGGTTTGTATCTATATAAACAATTTATTTTATATAGGTATTTTTGACTAATATCCTTGAACTAGCAAATACTAACCAATCAGCAATAAAATAGCCTCTGTTTTAAAAGAAATTATTTGTTCCTTATTGTTGGCAACTATCATCATTAGAACCTCGCTGTATTAGAAGTTGTATTTGCTGAAAAATGAGAACTTTCCTGTATGTTTTTGCAAAGCAATGGTTCACATAAGCTTGCAAAGAAACCCTAATTGGAATGGTAACTACTAGTTGACCCATTAGGTTGAAAACAGAGGCACTGAATCTGCTTAGTGTGATGGAATTTTTTTCCTTCCTTTTAGGTACAGGCATCACCAACACCTGAAATACCATCCATTAAACCTCATCAGGAGTATTTAACACTTTACATAGCTTACTCAAACTTGTCCATGGAATGGCTGTTTATGAAAAATAAATATTTTGTACATTAACTTTGGTTAGTGTTCCTTTTCTCACTTCATCATGTAGCCCATAGCAATTTTTGAATAACCTACACAAAAGTTGTTGGCAAAGCACCATGGTGACAATCTACAAAATTAAGTAAAAGGAGTTTTAGTTTGCATTTTAAATTAAAGGAGTCTTCAATGTTTTACTTTCCACCTCTGTTCAAGTTGGGCAATCTGTTGGCTTTGATTAATGGTTGGGGGCAGAAAGAGTTGGCAGTATCATTTATAGAGAAGCAATTTCTCTTTGTCTACTTCTCCTTCTCATATTTGTTATAGGAAATGGAAAAGAATATGTCCTGCAAGAAGTCAAGGAGATAGACCATTGCAAAACCTGTGGGGATAGCTAACTTAAGCCTACATTTCAGTTGGTTAGCAGAAAGGGAGTAGCTTCTATAGCCTATCTATCTATAAAGCAGCCAAGGAAGACCAAAGACATTTGACTTCATAATGAAGGGATTTCAACTGAGCCCACCTGAGTTGATGGCCCTACTTAAAGGAAAAAAAAAACAAAAAACAAACCAACAAATCATAGCAGCATGTTGTCTTTTTTTTCCAGCTAGATAGAATGGAAACTAGATTTTAATCTCTTGCTGGTGGAATGCTCTTAGGCAATTCCTCTCAGCCATCCTCCTTGTCTGCATAATGGAAAGAGTAAGAACCTAACTCACTGAGTTGGGCACAATGGTGAGATGGGGCACTGTCAGCACCTAGCACACGGTGAGTACTCAAAGAGAATCAATTCTCATCTGTTTCCCTTTATTCACTATAAATTCTTGTTTTTATCCCAGATATTGGGATCCTTATCTGAGGCATCATTTATTTTCTGTGTTTGAACATAGAAGTTAGAGTTGTTAAATAAAGATGGTAATTCTCTGGCCAGCCTCAACCCCACTCTCTTGCATGAGAGCCCCTTGAAAATCATCCTAAGATGTTCATAAATTCAAAGTTGACTGGAGAAATTGAATTCTTATGCACTCTCACTGGTATCTTTGCCCCTCCACAATCTGTAAGGTAATACTCTAAGGAAGGTTTTTTTTTTTTTGTTTTTGTTTTTTGTTTTTGTCTAAGAGAATATTTCCAAATTAGCTGTGGAGAAACAATCCATTGTGATTATGGCAAATGGTGGTTTTTGGCCCTGTAAATGACAGCTGATTGAATGTCAGCAAGCAGAACTGAGCAAATTTGATGCTGGTGATAAAACATGGTTGTACCAACAACAGCTGTGTCATCCTTCAGGGAGAAGCTCTGGGTAACAGTTGAAAAAGGGAAAGGAACTGTGCAAACCAGAAGGTTCAGAAGGTCTCAGATGCTCTAGTAAGTTAGTTTTTGATTGCATAGATCCTGCAAAATATTATCAAAACTATGCTTGTGTTTAAGGTAACAAGATATACAGACACTTGTCTAAGAAAAAGCAATGACTCAAGGCAATCCAGGCAAAACTCTGAGGTCTCCCATAACACAGCCTCCTACTGAAGAATTTAGGGCTGAATAGGACCCTGAATGTGTCACACTCAGGGATTTCTCACTAGAAGTACCAGAGAGATTGAGTAGCATTTACACCTTTATTAGTCTTCTGAAAACAAAATTTAGAGGATAATGCTTAAAAAATGTTTGTAGAAGATTTCACAATTAGCCAATACTCTTTAAGTTTAGGCCTGTAAGATTTCTAATTAGTGATTTGTTCCTCGCATCTTAGGGTAATGGAGCAAATACATGGTAAAAGCTGTTTTTAAAATTCTTTCCAAGAACAAACATACCATGTATGAAAACAATCCTTTGCTACATTGACAAGATAGATTCCAAGAGAGCTTCATATTATATCAAGGTGAAGTCAGGAAGACCATAAACAGACTGTAGGAGGTCTTGGTGAAAAACATTCAAATTTCTTTCATTGGTATGCCCAAAGGTACGTGTAGTCAAACCATAACTCATCTTTTTCTGAACAGACTTGATGTGTTTTGTGGAAACTGTTTTTGAATAAAAAGAGTCTTCAGACTGGGGGCAAAAAAACCCTTTCAACATTTTTGCAGTTACACAAAGAATTGCATGAGGCACTCAGCACATTCAGTTTGGTCAGCAATACAGTTAATCCTTTGGCAACTGACTTGTGTTTTATCCCCCATATGGCTCTGTTTTGAAAAGAATTATCTCATTTTCTAGTCATTCTCTTATCTCATCTGCAATGTCAATTATCTGAATAAAACATCTTAAGTATGATGCAAATAGGCAGAGCTGTTTCCCCTTCTGAGTCATAGTTATAGCTCTGCTTTTGTGTAATTAATTGGGAGATAAAATTAAATTTTAAATAGGAAGTCAAAACTAAAGATGCCCACTTTTACCATCAGCTCAACTGAACAAAGCTTTGTTTTTTCATATTAACAAGTGTATAGCATGGCTCCAGAGACCCAATCCCAGCAAGGTTTATGTAACTCCTTTTTAAGAATGCTGTGGAGCGGATTTGTTTAGACCGGAGTCCTGGGGCAGTGTAATGAGCCCTGTCTCTGGAGATCCAAATTCTAATCTTCATCTCTCACTATCTGGAGTGGGACTCTTAGGCAGGTAATGTGTTTTCTGGGCATGAATTTTCTTATCAAAAATCAATACAAAGGATATTCGGATTTCTAGAATCTCTTGTGATATGCCTAAGTATTGGCATACCTAAGATTAGGAACTCAATTTGGATGGAAGAAATATTGGACTCTTTCTCATGGACTCTTCCTCAAATTTATCAGTGTTACCATTAGGTCCACATCTATGGCCTTATCCCCCACCTCCACCCCATAGAGGTACCAGATTCGTTTTCTTTTCTGGCCAAGCCTAGGTCAATTTTTTCTTAACTGTCTTCCAGAGGGTTGTTTACCTCATTTTCTTCCCCTTTCATCATATTTACTTCATTTTATTTCTGCTTTGAAATCTTTTAGAGCTATTTTTAGTATGCTTCATCCCCATGAATGCTGTTACATCTAAAGTAGTATTTTATATAAATCTTTAATTTTTTTCTGCTTTGTTTTACATTGCAGTGTGTTCAACAATTAAGTGTATTTTTGGTGACTACGGCGCACTGTGACCCAGCCCCTTTTTCTTTGTCTTTTTTTCTTTCTTTTTAAATATCTACCTAAGTCTAGGAAGTTACTAGTATGATTGTTTCTTTAAAGTGTAGTTTTAAAGGCACAGAATGAATTGAAACAATGTCCATATCTAGAACTGAATAAGCATTTGACTTCCTCACTTAAAGTTTTTCCACTGACTCAGATTGCGAAAAACCAAAAACAAAAAACCATTATGCAGTCATCCAGATCAAAGTTCTACCATTGAGGAATATGATACTCTTTCATACTGTTAGGTGAACATGTGTGTAGCTGGGAGGGACTTCACCAAGATGACAGCTGTGTGTTTCTGAGGTCTTTTCATCATAGGAACTCAAGTAACTTTTTTTAATTAAAAGAAAAAAAAAGCAAATAAAAGAATAGGTTCCCATTGATTATACCTATTTGTGGGCCAAAAGAGCTGGTTATTATCAAACTCAATCATGAATATCACTGTACTTTCTCAAATACTTTTAGCTTCATTTCCCATTACCTGTTTGATTGCATGGGGGAAGCTTGCAGGCTGAGGTCCTTCCAGCACAGGCAGGAAGCAGGCAATTCATAAGGCCACAAAGAACTGAAGAAGGACTCTAATTCAACGTTAGGTTGTTTCCCTGAGCTCACTTTTGGTTTCTCAAATATTGTGGGTTTTTAAATCTCCTGTTCAAAGCTATTAATTTTGAAAATGTAAACTACCACGGAGAAATACAGTCCCCACATCCACTGTCATTTTCACAGTGTCTAATGGGTTTAGTAGATTAAAATATTAGTTATTCTTTAGTCTTCATAATATTTCTCAAATTTCCACTTTTGGTGTTGCTTCATTGGATCACAAGCAGCAACTTTCAAGGTCTTCTGAGAAACATTTCCTTCTAAGCATAGCAACTGATGATAATTTCCAAAAACAATGTGATTCACCTGGAAAGAAAGGGGATCTGGGAATGAGCCACAGAATGAATCTGACAACCAAAGTATAAAGAAATAAAAACTAATTTTAAAAAGATAATTATATTTTTGATTCCTTAGAAATTCTTCTGAACTAGATTAACAACATGAACTTTGGACTAATAAATTTGTCTCCATCTCAATCTAACTTCTTACTTATTCAAGCTACAAGGCTTTTTAAGACTTTTACGACTTCCTCAGGAAGGAAACAAAAAATTTATTTTCTGATGATAGGTCTGATAACTGTATTATTTAAAGGAAATAATTCCATATGGCATTTACTATATTTGATGGATGATGGCTTCCTAATTGATGGTGATCGTGAAAAAACAACCATCACAAAAAGTGAGTTAGTTCGTTTCTTATATTCCAAAGTGCTAGAAAGGATGTATTTATTTATAAGCTACCCACCACAATCTCCAAAAGTACATAATGCCTGACGTCCAGAAAATCCAGATGTAATTATAAAAAAGTCAAAGGTATTTCAGAGGAGCTCTGTTATTGGTTAATGTTTACTGAATACCTTAGAACTAATAGATAACCAACTTAGAACTTACTTATGGCTTTATAATTTTTTTCACCTATTAATTCTTTCAATTTTCCATGATGATGACAAAGATAATCTTAATTATATGTATATTGTTTTGGAATATTTTTTTTAAAAATATACCAAACAGTGGTGACTTTGTTATAGTTTATTTTAAAGATGTTCCTATAAAAACATGGTCATCCTTGTAGGACTTTGGAAATATGATGCTTGAGTATGCTAAAGATTTTGTAAAGGAGTTGGCCTTGAACAAAATCATCCTAGATTATCTACAGTGTTCTGTGAGTGGGTTGTAAAGAGGTGACTGGATAACTTGTTCCCAAACTAGACACTTGATGAGGGGAACAGTGGTGGAGGGTCATTCCAGTACCTAGAAATGATTTTCTTTTAGGTGTCTATAATCCAGAGCATTTGGGGTGGGCTGGCCTGGAGCATATCTTCTAAATGCAGGTTAGAAATGTATAATTTTAACAATTCATCGGTATTCAGGGTCAAACTCACTATTACCCTATTTCCTTCTTTGAAGCTCTCAACTCCTAATGCTAAAGGGAGAGACATGTTCCTGTTATTTAGTCTTATTCTCCATTTTATTTTTAAATACTTAACATGCTTTGGAGGACTCTGGAGGCTTAGTAAGAAAATTACCAAAATACTGAAAAAAAGAAGACTATTGTCATGATATTCATCTCCATGGAAAGAGATGTATGGATAAAGGAACTTAAGGCAGAAGGCAGCGATGTGACATGCTACAAAGTCACAGGCATAGACAGCGTTGGAAAACGTCTAATTTTTGCCATCTTAATTCAATTACCTTATTTACAAACTGGCTTACCATTTAGAGGGACTGAAATTAAACCTATATAAAAATCAGCTAACGAAGGCTTAAGTTCTCAGTGGGGCCAACCCAGTTTGTAAATAAGACCTGTGTGATTTAAGGGCTGCACGCTCCTAAGTATCTTCTCACTAGTTTTAATTTTTTTCCTTGTAACAGATTCACTTCTGGAGATGAAAAATGTGTTCTCATTCCCATCCTTTCTCAACCCTGGTCCCACCTCCACCTTTTTTAGGCATAGGATTAAGGAAGCAGAAGGTAGTATTTGATAGATGTTTATGGATTTTTCCAACACTATGCAACATAAAATTAGTAACTTGTACACTAGTAATTCCTATTTTTTTCTAAATAACTCTATAATAGTTTTTATCACTAAAGAGAAAAAAATGTCCAGAAGGAACTAAAATATAACAGAGATGATTGAAAGGAGGAGATTAGGAAATGTATTGCTCAGGCCCTGATTTTGACCCGAGTAGGAAGAAAAATGTTGTGAAGGGAGCATGGTTGTCACTTACTGCAACATCAAAAAAAAATGGAGGCACTCCTGGGGGAAAAAAGTGCTTACTTTCGGGACAACCCTGAGGAAAATGATAGTCTTCATATACCCAGTGCATTTTGTGGATTTGGTGACTACTTGCTAGTGAGATAATAGAAAATTTAAGATCAGTCTAAAAAAATTGTTGTCCCTCCAAGATCTCACACCAAAGCTTATGACTTTGTATCTTGTAAAAATAAAATTGTGGGAACCTATCAGGATTTTGATATTTATCATTTTGGGAGTGAATAGGATATAGCAGGGTGGTCTGGTAAATATTAATAGCTAAACTCCTGGATTAGTAGCATGGGTTTCTGTAAATATTCCCATCATGGCTGGTTTCAAGCTACCAGTGTGATGTCACCAAATGTGATGTTGGTAAGTTCCAGCAGCAACCATCGGCTCCTATAAGGTGGTAGGAACTGCCTTCAATACCTGTTGAGAGGCCAGGTCTCTGGGAATCAGGGGCTGGGGGTGCAATGATGAGAAAAAGTCTCCCTTTATGGAAAGGAGACAAAATGCTGAAAAGCAGATTCATACTAAAGTGCAAAGCTCGTAGGAAACAAACTGCTTCTTGCTTTCCCCATATACTCTCCCTACAGGCTTCTCTGGTAATCAGTGAGAACCAGTTCTAGCCTGTAAGCATTATTTTTGGCATTGTTAGTTGACTGAAGCAAATGACTTACAGAAACAAAGATGCTGATAGAAATATAACCAAAGAACCTGGTGACTTAGGTTTAAAATCACAGATCTGAAATAACATTTTTAAAAGGAAAAAAGGACTTGACAATTATAAAAACACCCATTTATCTCTCTGTATGAACTTTTTTTTTTCTGTATGAACTTTTACACTGCCTCTATTGTCCCAAACACATTTAAAGCTTCTGATTGAGGGCGCAGACAATGAGAATTTCATGTCTCATTTAATCGGAAGTTAGATTTGCGATAAAGGAGAGTTACAAATATTTTGCTTACCAGTTCTGGGTGAAAGACTGACGCTGATTTATGTAGCCATTTTAGCCCTTTGTTTCTGTTATCACAAGGGTGCAGACTCAGGGCCCCAGTATCAGGGATGGGAGCTAAGCACCACTCTTCATGTTTAATAAGTCTTAGCCAGGTGTAATTAAATTGTTGAAGCTGTCAGGAAATGAATAAGGAAAAGGTCACTTCACACAGCATGTACAGGTAGGGGCTTTGCCAAACATTTGGGTTAGCAATGGTGACGGATATAGGCACTTTGATCAAATGTTTTGTACCCAAATCCTAGTATTAGCACTTTTAGTTCTGACACATGGGCATATGATTACCATATCTCATTTCATTTTTATCATTTTTAAGTTGGATAGCAATACGGTGTATCTCAGAGAGTTGAGGGAATGACTGGTAAGTGTTCCGCACACAGCAAGCCCTCAATAAATGTGAGTTGCCATAATAAGAATTATGTAGGGGACACCTGGGTGGCTAAGTGGTTAAGCATCTCCCTTTGGCTCAGGGCATGATCCTGGAATCCTGGGATTGAGTCCCACATCGGGCTTTCTGCATGGAGCCTGCTTCTCCCTCTGCCCATGTCTCTGCCTCTCTCTCTCTCTCTCTGTGTCTCATGAATAAATAAATAAAATCTTAAAAAATGAAATAAAAATAAAAACTATTTAGTACAGTTAGTATATATCTGGAAGTGGAGGTCATTTCAGGCGTTCAGAACCCCAGACAAGCCTGGTGCTTAAGTAGGGGGACATTCAAATCATCTCATAGCCTTTAGGGCTATAAGGAGATCCAGGTCACAGTCCTAAATTACTTTGGTGGAAATTATTATGCTTCTTTGTTTAAGCCTATCTAGATAACTGGACTCCTAGAGGCTTTGCAGGAAAGGCTAAAAATCTTTCTTAAGGCTAAAAAACGTTTCCATTATAAGAAAGATTAAAAATCTTCTGATAGCAGAAAGAATCATCAGGTTCTGCTCTCTTAGCGTCCATAAGCATTCAATAAGAACCACTCTTGGAGAAGTTCCGTTTTGGGGAGTTGCCAATGTCTAAAATAAATTCCGATTCAGGTAATGGAACCATGTTTTCAATTTTTCTAAGTACTTTTTCCAGTTATTTACAACCTAGTACTATCTTCCTGGTCAATTTATTCTAAGTCTGTGTGTCTGCAGGAAGTTTTTTGTTTTGTACCAATGCGAACATTAAAAATACAAAAACAACACACACACACACACACACACACGCACACACAAGACTGCTGGTAAAATCTATCTAAATGCTTTTACCTAGGGAATCCTCTGTAATGTAACTGAGATGTAATTTAGGTTATCAAGTCAGTCCTTGGGTGAGACCTCTCCGCTCAAAGGGTAGTCCCTGGACCAATACCAGCATCACCTGGGGGCTAGTTGGAACTGCTGAATCTCAGCTCCACCATGAACCTATTGAATCAGAAATCTGTATTGTAACAAACTTCCCAGGTGATTTGTGTGCCCATTAAAATTTGAGAAGATGGGTCTTACGTCATAATACAGAGAAGTTATGTGTCTACTAAGAGAAGCTAGACATTACCTTTAAAATAGACATCTCAACTGGTTGAAAAATTAATAGCTAAGGGGGCCTTTTTAGGTAAGGTGAAGGATAAGGCTTGGTGGTTCAATCATAGGACTTTATTGCTTTCGAGCCTTTTTTGGATGAATGTTATAAAATGGCTTGGTGTTAAGCTTCATTAATCTGCCAAAATAAGTTAACTTCCTCCAAGTTCCTTTACTTTTTACTATTCAAACGAACTGCAAGCTTAAAAGGAGCAACAAGATAAGAAGGGAGATGGAAAGTAGGGGCTGCATATTCATACCTCTACCTCCCAGCATCCCCTTGAGAGCCTCACTGGTTATCCAGACAGACCACAACTGGGGTCTTTGGATAAAACAGCGGTTAATCAGCACAGAAAATCATTAGAAGAATGAGTCTTGAAGGATGGAATGAAATAATATTTTGCTTTCATGTAATTTGCACTACTTGTGGTTTTATTTTATAACTTATGACTATTTCCTCACATATTTATTAATGTGAGTTGTGTCTTTCAAATGATTTTTGACACTTTTCTCTTCCCTCTGCCTTTCTTTCCTAATTAAGAAAGAGCTCCCTCAGTCTCAAGTTTACAATCCATAGCTGAATTATAGCAACAGAAGGACAAAAATGTCTTTTCAGCTTTGAATTAGAGGTAGAGAGGGGATGTGCTCAGAAATATAAGCAATATCTCCCAGCCAAAGCAAACAGGTAAGTCTGGGGAGCCTAGAATGTTATAACAAAATAATTTCTCTACCAAAGATCGATCTACAATTTTAGGATGCTGAGGTCAACATGGAATGATGTTTCTGTGAGTTTTATTTAGCATCCAAAACGGTAATATCCACACAGAATGAGAATGGGTGGGGAGCATATGCTGAAGAGAGTGGTACCATCACTCTGAGCTCACCTCCAGCACTGCTGAGTCCCCCCTGTTCTCTCTGGCCTTCCTTACACCCCTAACCCTTGTGTTCTGAGTTTGTCAGAGATTTGCTGAAGGGTTTTCCACCATGGATCACGGATTATGTAATTTGCATTACTCCCTCAACATGTAGGAGAGTGGGGAGGAGGGGGCTGAATCAGAATAAAATTGCTCCCTTAGATTATTTAAAAATATGCTCTGCCTTTATTTCCTTTATTTTATCTTTAGATGTAATTTTTTATTTTTCACTTTTTTTTTTGTCTTTCTTATTGTAACAGTGAACATTTGTGGAGCACTAAGTGTTAAATATTGTTCTACATGCTTCATCTGTATTACATAATTTGATCCTCAAACCTGATTTTGGGGTAGGTACTGTTATAACTGGTATTTACCTAAAGGTTAAAGGATTGGCAAAGTTAACACACTTTTGAAAGTGATGAAGCCAGAACTGGGTCCCTGGTGGGTTGACTTCAGTACTCACATTTTTTCTCCCTTGGTCACCATCTTTACATTCAGTAGCAGTGGGCCCTCTTATCACCAACCTTATGATCATGCAGAAATTTATAAGTTGATTATTATTTGTACAGCAAAAATAAATTTCTCAAGTGAGCGGTAAATGTGCCATACTCTGCACTTCTCAGGTACACCTGCATCATCTATCAATTGCGCCCATGATGAGAGAGAAAACCCAGCCCGGCGTACCTCGCTGCTCCCATCGCAGTCTTCCAAAGTGGCTGTGGTGTTTTCAATGGAAATGCATTTGCCCAAGGCCACGTTAATAAGCTAGGAAACAAAATATAAAATATGCATTAAGGGAAAACATACTTTAAAGTAGAACAAGACATTCAGAAAACACAGACTATAAAACTCTAATAAGGTTAAAAGACAGTTAAGTTGATAGCTTAGCATTACTTAGCACTGTACGATTTTATTGGTTGCTATCTCTAACAGAGACATAATGTAATCTTGCTAAAGTACAGCTTCAATCTGTCAATTTAGGCCTATGATTCAGCCACAGAGCCAACAAACAGAAGCTTTTAATTAACCCTTGCCTGGAATGCTGAATAGGGAATGAGCAAAAGGTAGCATGAAAAGTAGTTATTTTCTTGTCTCACGTTTTCCTGATGCATACTTTAAAAGTCAATGCACAGACTTGAAATTTAATCAAACCAACAGTTATGGGCTCTGTTCCCTGGCTGACCCCTTCAAGCGATTTCAGTGCCTAGGCCCTGAATCATAGATAAATTGAGTCCTTCAAAGAACAGCAGATTCCGGCTGATTCCCTGTCAGAATCTTCCTAATGACTCAGACAAGCTACAATTCATTATAGGAAAGTCATGAAAGCTAATACACAGCCAACCTTAAAGGCACTATCTGGCAGGTCCCCAGGTTTTTAATGGATTTGCAGGGTCAAATATGGAGGCAGCTTTCTATAAGTCACCATTTAATGCAGAAAAATGTTGATTCCCTTGCCCCTTGACATCTTGGGCAAGGCTAATGAGATGGTGAGTTAATAGTGCAATTTAGACTTCTTAGATTTCTAGAAGAGCTGCGTAGAGTCAAGTCTACCCTCAGGAAAGCCTTCCAAGCTGAGATGTGGTGAAGTCTTTGTTGGCAGGGACACTATTTGTGCTCCTTCCTGTTCCATGGTGCCTAACACAGAGCTCTAACTCTGGGATGGTATATGATGCAGCTGCGTGGCTCAGAGCTGTAAGCCTTCATAACAGGGTGCTCAGTGGGTTGGTCCTCACTTTTACATGCATAGCTTAGCTTGCAAGAAAGTAAGGGGCATCTTCAGGGACCAGAAAAATGCAGGAAACGAAACAAAACCAAACAATACAAAGCCCTTTAGCAAGTGGAAAAATTGCAACTACTTGCAGGCAAGGGACCAACATTGATTGTAAGGACAAGAGAAAAAATGTGGGTTTGGATAAGGGATAAGCCAGAGAGTTGGAACGGCAGTCTTCTGTATAAAGATGGACAACTAAAGAATTAGACCCTCAATAGAACGGTGTCCTGGGAAAAACAACTTACCCAGTAGCACAGGGAGACAACAAGGAAGCTAGAGTCTCCCTTGGGAATCTGACCTTTACATGGACCTTCATTTGGGTTTGAGATGCAAGTTTACAGTACCTGCATTGGATAGGAACTGAGACCGACATAAAAATAGCACCAGGTTGTTGGTGCCTGGGTGGCTCAGGTGATTAAACCTCCACCTTTGGCTCAGGACATGTCTCAAGGTCCTGGGATCCGGCCCCCTGTGGGGCTCCTTGCTCAGTGGAAAGTCCTTCTCCCTCTCCCTCTGCCCTTCCCCTGCCCTCCAGCTCATGCTCTCTCTCTCCCCTCTCTCCTTCAAATAAATAAATATAATCTTAAAAAAAAACCAAACCAAACCAAAACTAGTACCAGGGTGATTACTTCTGGGGTAGCTGGCATGTAAAACTACTCTAGAAGGACAGAATTTCCATCAGAAATCTTCTCTGGGCATCCCCGGTGGCCCAGCGGTTTGGTACCACCTTCAGCCCAGGGCGTGATCCTGGGGTCCAGGGATTGAGGCCCACGTCGGGCTCCCTGCATGAAGCCTGCTTCTCCCTCTGCCTGTGTCTCTGCCTCGCTCTCTCTCTCTGCGCCTCTCATGAATAAATAAAATAAAATCTTTAAAAAAAAAAGAAAGAAATCTTCAAAGAAAGCTCTGTTCACAATGTAAAGTGACAAATATGGGAAGAGACGACCACCGCTAGTAAATGCAGCAGTCAGGACGCACAGAACAAATCAACCTCAGAGATTTAATAGACATGCATGAAAGCAGGATAATCCTGGAGATTAAAGAAAGGAAATGTGCTCCAATTGTTCTCTGGATTTTAACAGAGATAAATATAAATTTCTGTGTTTGTGAACTACTCAGAAAATATTCTATCTTCCCACGGGCTTGGAAAACTCTGGCCTCAATACAGCTGAACAGGTTGTGCTGCTCCAGAACCTCACAGAACCTTCAGGACGTTAATGTTTAGCTCTCCTCTACACGAGGGAATGCAGTGGGAGTGTTTGCCAAATACATTTGGCCCTGGGATCCTATTTCTGGCACCACAGTGTATGGGAACCCCTGGTTTAACTGTTTGCTTTGTGTTTATTTTGTACAGTCCCTTCTGCCAAGCATAGGAAAGCATTAGATGGAAGGAGAACATTTTTCTTTCCCTTGCTTCCCACTCCCCTGCTTTCTCTGAAGATTTGTTTCCCTTCCTTCCAGTCAGAAACTTCTGGGGGCTTCTGGGTGGCTCAGTTGGTTAAGTGTCTGCCTTAGGCCCAGGTCATGATCTCAGGGTCCTGGGATCCAGCCCTGCATTAGGATCCCTGCTCAGCGGGGTGCCTGCTTCTCCCTCTGCCTGCTGCTCCCTCTGCCTGTGCTCTCTCTCTCAAATAAAATCTTTAAAATAAAATTTCTGGAAAAACTGCTTTTCTTCACATAGAACTGATTTATGAAGTCCTAAACAGTTGTTATTCTTTATCTCATTATGAACGGTTTTAAAAATTGATTTGTAAGGAATTATATTTATGCCTTTATTGTAAACGATTTCAATCTTTTTTAAAAAAAATCAGGCATTATGTAAGTTTTAAATTATCCATTTTGAATTATTTCACTTTCCAATTTAGGAGGTGGAGTTCCCCCAGTTTATCACAGAACTGCAGAACATTGAGCTATAGGCTGTTTGCTAAGCATAAAATGCAATATAAAGACTAATTATTAGTGCAGTTGTTTCATTCTTTAAATATTTTTGGTATGATATGATATGTTCTTATAAAAAGAAAAGAAAACAAAAACCTTACGCTGGATTTAAATTCCTAAATAGGTTGAAAGAAGGGAAAATGGGGAGCAAATAACAAAAAGTTGTAGTTTATTTTCTCGGGACTTTTCAAAATTGTCTGTCTAAAATAATGGTCTAGTTAATCTTAGTCTGAAGTGTCTGAAAACGATCTTTTTTTTTTTTTTTTTTAATGGTAATAATGCTCCCTACTGGTTATTTCAGAAGAGAGCAAACAACATCTTTGGTTATAATTTATCTAAGGAAGGCAACAAATAGAATTTTAAAAAATAATTTAAAAATCTTTTTTTGCATTTTAATATATTCTAGTTCAGTCATCAGCAGAAGGCTGTTACAGGACAGCGCTACAAAAATTTCATGGGAACTCATACAAATTAGCCTCACAGAGGATACAAAAGGTAGGTTTTTAGTTCCCTCTGGTGGTTAGAGTTCAGTAATGCTCTTGCTGACATTCTGTGTTAGGGCAGGAAAAAAAAAATTACTATGGTGAGAATTTCTTTTCTTACTCAGGGGTTAGAATTAAAAAAAAAAAGTGAGTTCGTTCTATAGACACATTATCTGAACAGTGCATAAATCCAGGGTGTTCTTCCTAATGAGTTACCTAGAACAAGATACCAGGTTGAAACACCAGAAATAGCTGCTACTTATTTCGACCTATAAAAAACAACAATTTTATACATTATGTTATATACAAACAGGTCACTTATACTAATTTTTCAGTTGAATTTTTGTGTTTCATCCCTTTTACACTCTTCCAGAATCTCCCCTATACTATTAGGGAGAAAGGCTCTGCTAAGTCCTTGTCATCAGGAAATTTCCTAGGCAGAGAGTGATTGGTTCAGACAATTCATTTTCTAGGGAGAACTGAACAAACATGGCCTCAAATGGCAGGCTTACTGAGGTCAAGTCTGAGAATCTCTTTCATGAAGAAAAAGGAAACTGAAAGAAAATGAAATAATGCCAGGAATATTTATAAATAAAAAAATAAATGAAAAAACAATAAAAGAGATTAAAAATATTCATGACTAGAGAAGCACTCTAGGTCAAGGCTTGACTAATCCCTTCTAAACCCATTCTAAGGTAAATATCTTCATGTCTTGCCATCCTCTTCAAATGAAGCCCATCTCCTAGAATGGGTTTGAAATGACTTTCATCCAGGTTCTTTGCTTTCTTGCTTTAGTTCTTAGCTTTCTACTCTGTCCAACCTGTTGAGCTTGGTTTCGTCCCTTCTGTTACATTATATTGTGCCTCGAATTTCCTCTGTCATTGTCTGATGCTTTCTTTTATTTTCAACCCATGTTTGAGATCTGTAAAAATCTAATTAAATCATGTTATCTCATTGTTTAATGTTACCAATAACTGTTACACAGAAGAAGGAGAAGAAAGAAAGAAAAGAAAGAAAGAAAGAAAGAAAGAAAGAAAGAAAGAAAAGAAAAAGAAAGAAAGAAAGAAAAAGAAAGAAAGAAAGAAAGAAAGAAAGAAAGAAAGAAAGAAAGAAAGAAAAAAGAACGATCCTTACTCTGCCCACAAGGACCTATGTGACATGACTCTTCTTCCCTCCTCCTCCTCATCTGGTGTCATTCTTCTCTCCTTCGCACCCTGACAATATTCATCTTCTTGAGTGCCTGGACGGTCCTCTATCTCAGAGGTTTTGCACAAAGGGAGTCCTCTGCCTAAGACTCTCTCCTTTAGAGCTTGGGTGACACTTGTCTTTCAGATCTAGGCTTCAGTATCTCCTCAGAGTTGAATACTCTAGCTTAGAAGGATTCATCACCTGTGACCGCTTCCCAGGTGAGAGCTATCCTATTTTTTTACTTAAACATTACATACTTGTATATTGTTTTCTCCACTCAACTTTAAGCTCCACAAGTAGGAATCAAGTCTGCTTTATACAGCACCCTATAATCCAGTTCTGAAATGCTGTCTGGTTTATTGATACCAGTAGGTTTTTGCTGAAGTCATCAATGAACATGGCTGCCTAAAAGGCTCCCTCAAGTCCACCTGTATCTAACTCTTAACCATGCTCAGTGTCATCTGCACTCATACTTGGTATTTACATATAATGTAATCTTTCATTCTTTTCCACATATTCTCAAGAGTTTTACAAATTTATTTTTATGGAGTCAGAATTTAAAGTGCTGCTTGAACTTACCACACCATTAGCCCTCACAATGGGGGCCTTCAAATCAGGAAAAACATTCTCCAAGTACCATTTGAAACTTTTGCATTTTAGTTTCTTTCGAAGTTCCCGTTGTTCAGTGAGGTTTCCGACATCCAACCCTTGGTCTATGAGGTGGTCCCCATGGCCATAGAATAGCTCCTTGTACTCATCAAGCCAGACCTCAGCAACCCGCACCAGGTTCCGCTCTACTGTCTTCATCCGGTCTTTGGGGAAGGAGTATGGATTGTCATTTCTGAATATGTGGCCCACTCGGGAGCAGGGAATGATCTCAATTTCACCACCACACATCCACACCTGTAACAGTTTGATAATAAACAGTAATTATCAAATGATGTACACAAATCATGGGCAGTTAACACTGACAAGGAACCACCTGGTGACCACTGCCTCCTCCCCCCAGTTTGAAGCAGTACTCTCAACTTCTCAAATCTTTATCAATAGTTTCAAATTGAACTCAACAGGTTTATTTAGTTTTGTACATGGCTGTGGACCATTTTAGGATTTGTAAAATATATTTTTTCTTCCTTACTCTGCAGTGTACATGTTTTTATTTTATAAAGAAATTCTCACTGACTCCCAAAGTATAAAATATGGAATATGAACTCCTGTTTCAGTTGGATCAGGGAAAGGAGTATATATTTCCATTTTTTCAACTTTCCCTTCTCACATCTTGGGATGATCCGTATGATTTATGGAATACAAATTGAAAATGAGCTCAAAGTAATATTCCTGTTACTATATACTACACCACTCCTCAAGAAAGCAGTTGTCTTTTGGATTCTCTTCACTCTGACTGCTGCCAGGGCTTTCTTAGCTGTTGATCAATAACTATAAATACCCAGAACTGTCTGAGATGACCAAAGTTGCTGCACCATTGCCTGTTGATGGCCTGCTCTAAAGGTACTATTCTTACTTCTGTTACTTGTGCTGTCTACAGTGACCCATTACTGAATGATTTCATTACTTCTGATATACTAGAAAAACGTTCCTGGAGATATTTTGTATGAAGTATGAATCCCACAGCACTTATACAGGATAGTGGACAATTATTTCCCCTATAGCCACATGTAGAAACAGTGTCATAAAAGTTTAGGGAATTCTAATAAATTTTATGAGAGCTATTGATTCTTCCAAATTTAATCTGGGATATTAAAACATTAATCCAGAGGCCCTAAAATTTCTGTGAAATTTGCTCCCGGAGGCAGTCCCATATCTGATTATATTAGTAAAATGAAACCAAATGATAAACTCTTAACTGTAGAGAGAATTTGAGGACCACTTGGTAATACCTTGAATGAGAGCTCCATATTTTCTCCACCCCAGACATCAAGTCCAGGGTCATATGTTCCAAGTTCAAAAAAGTAATTTTTATCAATAGAAAATAATCCACCTGCCATGACGGGGCACCTACAAAAAGAAATGTTTATTTTTTTAAACTTGCATGTCATGGGAATTCAACTTTCAGAGTGGGTCCCCTGTGCAGTTGTGATGGAGTTAAGAGATTTCAAAATAGCTATCATGTGTGGGGAGGTCTTGGAAAGTGGTCATACATAGCACTGAAGTCATCAGTCCCCTGGTTCATGGTGGCAGAGCTCGATTAGGGTCAGTAAAGGAGGGGCCTGGAAGCAGGATTCTTATTTGCCCTTTACTCTCTGACACAAACTCTCCAGATATATTATTTTTAAACTCTTATTTAATAGTGCTACGGGAGTACCAGGCACTGTGTAAGTATTATAAACAGCTCAGACTTTACAAAAATCCTGTGGGTATGTACCATTAAGAAACTGAAGCACAGAAATGGTTAGAAACTTTCCCAAAGTCACAGATTAGTATGATATCCATCAGGGGTTCAGTTGAGGTGGTCCGATTTCACTCGAGGACCTCTCACTCCCCTATACGCCTCAACTATAGACAGACTTTAGGACAGCTTATTATGTGGTAAACATTTTGTAAGGCATGATATATAATCAGATTTAATTCTTAGATAACAGAAGTAGCTCCTTCTATTAGTCTTAATGGAAAAATGAGGAAACAGATCCAAAGAGGTTAAGTAACTTTCTAAAGCTCACATCATTAGGAAGTAATGGAGTTGAGATTTATTTATATATTTATATTTATTAAAAGACTATTTATTTATTTATTCATGAGAGACACAGAAAGAGAGGCAGAGACACAGGCAGAGAGAGAAGCAGGCTCCCTACAGGGAGTCCTCAGAATCTTAGGATTCTGAGATCAGGCAGACATTCAACCACTGAGCCACCCAGCCAACCATAGAGTTGAGATCTAAATCCAAAGAGTCTGACCCCAGAGCCTCCATGACTGTTATAGAGTATGGGGGGATAGGAACTACACTTGCATCAGCAGCTAGACAAGACAATCAGCAGCTATACTTGAGTCACTTTCCACGGTGGTTACCCTTGGGCCAGGCGAAAGAGGTTTGTGTGGAGAGCCTGTCTTGTGTTTAGGGTATAAAGCAATCTCAAGGGTAGCTAACTCCTGCCCCACACCTACTTCCCTTCTCCCACCATTTAAACACATATGCCGTCTGAATGCCAAATGTCTTTTCTAGTCCATCCAGATGCAGTCTGGAATGGCATGCGGAATATAATCTAAACTCAATCACTACACTGACCCTCAAAATGGGAGTCTGAAAAAAAGACAAAGAGGTTCTCCAGGTGTGGGATCAGAGCGAGTGTGTTAAATTCAGGCAGATACCGGTTTGAATTCCAATTCGTTATTTTACAAGCTGTATATCCCTGGGTAGATTAACTCTTTTAGGCTCAATTTCCTCATCTCTACTATCGGAATATTATACCACCTCTCTCCTAGGATTACAGAGAGGGTTAAATGCATAGTGCTAAAATAAATGATAGCATTCCTACCTGACTTGCTAGGAATATCAATTCTGGAACCACCACACCTAGCAAGCGATAAGGCGTGCTTTATTGAGGGTTAAGTTCTGAGAAAATGCTACAGTGCATAGTCTGGGCTGGGGCTTTCTCTTGGCACTTGTCTGCTCAAGTTCTCTCTCCCACTGGAAAGGCTTTGGGACTCCTGTTGCTCTGCCTGAGGCTGGCTGTGTGCTTGTCCTGCAGGTCTAGACTGGGGGAAGTGTTCAGAAGTGTTCAGAAGCCCCCACCTTGGCTTTAGGTCAATCCAGCTTCTCCAGCAATATATCCCCACTTTTCATTCGTATCCGCCTTCTGTGTCTATTTCTCAGTTCATTCATAGAATTTGGCACCCCTCCCATGGAAGGGGTAGGATTAGAATTGAAAAGAAAATCCTAACAGTAGCTATTATTACAATATTTTTATTACTATTATTTACTCTTCTAATTTTTACTCATGTTGGCTTTAACGTTATGTGTGTTTATATAACATTTATGCAGCATATTCAATTAGTTTCTATTTCTTAGGTTGTAAATCCCAGAAAGCAGGAATAGTATTAGTGAATTTCTCTGGGTTTGGGGCTGAATAAAGTGCAATTAACCATTTAAAAATGAGTTTTGGTAGTGGAAAAGTAATATCTTAGGAAAACTTTGTTTGCTTTTGATCATCTATTGGTTAAAGCTATAATTCTTGATGGTCTACAGAATGACAGGAAATATCTGCTTTGTGGAATTGCTTCCTACACCTTTATCAAAAGATACATGATTGCTCTCTAATCTTGAATTTCATACACTTACCTTATTATATCTGTTTCTTTAATTCTGTTTTTTGCAACAACGTCTGGAGGAATTGTTCTCCAACCAAAGTTCATGGGCCACACAAAGATGCCTCTTTGAAAGTTGTCCACTGTCATGTAACTAATCCAGGACAAAAACAAAAGTACCTGAGATGATCATTCACAGATACTTAATCAACCTGATACCATGTCTTGTTCAAATAAATGACATAAAGTGATTACATAAATGTTTGTAGATTATCACAAACTTTTTTTTTTATCACAAACTTTTTAATAACATTTCAAGCAAATTTACGAGTACAACTTGCATTAGTGACTAATTGGCTGGATTGCTAGTTTTTAACTTATACTTTTCTTTTAATAATGTTCTGACAGTTTTTGAGGGAAAAAAACAATTTAGGAGCATATGTATATTTCCCATAAAAAGATGAGCTAATCTTAAGGAAGATAAATATTTTCTGGGTTTAGGCACAGCTGAATAGAAAGAGGAAAAAACTGGATAATGAGTATTATGATTTATTGGTATTAAGAGTTAAGAATTTTGATGATCAAATAAACTATTGGATTGACCTCTGATCCCAAGATATCTATTATATGTTTTCATTTATTTAAATGGATAAACTGTGGATTTCTTAGATTTGCAAAAATCTGCATATAGGAATATGACCAGTATTTTCTATTGCTGTTAAAGACTCACTTATAAGTATCTTGTGGAATATGACAGTATTACCTCATATCCTTATCATTGATGACTTCAATTACTGGACAGGCTACTTTCTTTCTACTTAAATAAACTCTTTCCAGAAGAGGTTCCAACCAACCAACGTTACATTCCACGTGAGAATCTAAGAATGTCAACACATCACCTAGAGAGCCAGAAAAAAAAATTATTTGAAAATGCTATATATATACTGAGTGTGTGTGCTTCATGGTCAAAGGTCTTGGGAATTGTTCCAGAAGGATGATTATAAGGGCAGTAGTCTTCTCATTGAATTCCTGGTCCCTATAATTTCATTTTATAATGAAATAAAATCAATTTTGTTTCTAGAAGTCCTGTGGGGCAAGCATTATCTTTGTGGAAAAATTGATAAGCGATGTAGGATGAATGGATAGCCAAGACTTTAAAGGGAATCTGTAGTAGTAAAGGTGGCTGCCCTGTCTCCTCAAGGAGAGTGCATCTCATTGACCTGGGGTGGGGCTGTGTGGGCCAGGCAGTTTGATATTCCAAGACAGTCTTGGGAATGATGAAGATGAGAAATCATTCTGTATAACGGGGGGGGTGGGGGGTGGGAGGGGACAAATAAAAGAGGAAGAATCAGTAAGCCTAGAAGGTAGTGTAAAAAAGATTCCTGGGATGGGGAGGGAGAATAGGGAATAGTTTAATGAGTAAAGATCTTTGGTTTTGCAAGATGAGAAGCATTCTGGAGATTGGTTGATCAACTGTGTGAACATACTTCAGAGTACTGGACTGTGTACTGAAGAAATAATTAAGATGGTAAATTTTATGTTGTGTATTTTACCACAATAAAAATAAAAGATCTGCAAGAGAAAAAGAAACTTGGAGGCCAAAAAATATTTATTAAAAATTATTTTTTCTGTTAGTTTCTGGAAGTAACACTTTCTCCCCAATAAAAATCTCAGTAGGTTCTATACTGTTCCAAATGATTTTATACAAATGGAGTGTGTGTGTGTGTGTGTGTGTGTGTGTGTGTGTGTGTGTGTGCTTGTAAGATTAATAATAACCTAAGGAATCTAGGTTATGGCCAAAATCCTATCGGGCCCAACCATAGGCAAATTGCAAAGCCTTTTCCTGGCAGGTCGTCATGGCGGAAGGCTGCCCTTTCACACCAGACATGGTCTGCAGCCAGTGTACCACAGTCTCTGAAGGGAGTTGCAGGCAAGAGCTCAGTCCCCCTCTCCCCGTCGCCAGTGGACATGCTCTCAGCATAGCTTCATTCCTAGCTCAGGTTCCTCCATTCGGAGGCCTCCTCCAGGCCAAGACCTCGGTCTCACCTTATGGGAAGTGGGTAGGTCTCCAAGACATTTTCCTCACCGTAGCTCTCACCTGTAAACCAGGAGGAGCCTTTTGTTCTGGGCTCCTTCAGCAGTGAGATGATCCTCACATCTGCCCAATCCACTAGCCCATTTCTCAACAAGGAAAAATGGAACAATCAGGGAGTCAGCACTTTCTTCTATTTCAATTCTTACTTATTTTTCTTACTTATATTATTAGAGGAAATGATTAAAGACTTGAATGTTACTTTCATTTTGGCTTATTGTTTGAATCGACCACTCTGACAATGGGTTTCTCCCCTCAGCTCTTGACAAACCTGTAACATCAATTACCTTCTATTGAGTGCTTACTCTGTGCCAGACACTGTTCTAAGCATTCTGTGTGGTTGTCTTGTTCAACCCACACAACAAACCTGAAGTATAAGTCTGAGTTTTATTCCCATATAAGAGAAACAAAGAACTTAAGCAACTTTTTCAAGTTGGTCCAGCTAAGTGGCAGCCTGATAGTAGAAAACGCAGTTTATTCCATTGCCTTAAAAAAAAAAGAAAGAGAAAGAAGAAAGAAAGAAAGAAAGAAAGAAAGAAAGAAAGAAAAAGAAAGAAAGAAGAAATGGCAAGAAAGAGGCAAGGCTTTGAGAATGGGAAAGCTTAGAGTAAAAGCAGAAGACAGCAGGAGTCAAAGGACAAGGTAAAGTTACATACCTGGGTGACAGATCATTATCCACTAGAAACTGTGAACTCCCTCTTAATTAATGGTTCAGTATATTATTGATTAAACGATCAACAATGGAACTTTTGCATGAGGGTGAAGAAACTGACCTTAGCCAACATCTTGGTGAGGAATGTTCTTGTGAAGTCTCTAGGCAGAACCCGGCTGTGCTAGACTGAAGCCCCATCACTCACTTATTCCCCAACTCTTGGAAAACAGTGGTTACAATTCCTGATCATGCTAGTGAAGTCCTATTTTCAGAGATTATGGCTTGTTTGATAATGAAAGGTCATTACCTCCAAAAGGTGTCCTTTTGCCCAGCCTGTTCCTTGTGTGGTAAGATTCACAGGGATTATGTGGGTGTGTAGGATACATAAGCATGGCCTGCTAAGGTCCCACTTGGCTAGTGAATAGCATGTGCAGAAGACAACCTCCTTTTTCTCACTACTTCCACTGCTGGTCCATTCAACCAAAGAGCAATCTCTACTAGACCACCTCTCCATATCCCTAGAGTAAGCTTATAGGGTCAAAGGGGCCTCAGTCGACTTTCTCAATCCCTGATGGCATCAGGATGGATGCCCTGATCCTATATTCACTTCCTACCTGGACCAGATCCCCATACAGATTTTCATTCACTTGTTGCCAGGACCCAAAGGAAGCAGCTTCTGCCCAAAACATAGACCGGAATTTTATACTGTTTTATTTTGGGTGAGAAGAGAATCCTCCCATGCATGAATGTCATTGCTCTACTTTCAGACACTTTAATTTAAAATAAGATCTCAGGAACTAGACCAGGATGCTGTTTATGTAGCTGACTCCTGTTAGGACTTCTACTTGTAATGGGTATAGTCTGTGGACATTTCACAAACTGTTCCTAACCCCAAGAGTCATGGTGAAATGAACATAGGATCGAAGCCACACAGCTTTGCTTTCCTGAGCCACCCTGGATAAATGACTTAACCTCTCTAGGATTTACCTTACAAGGATATTTCTAAGATCTACCTAATACCTAAATTCCTTATAAATGGCTGGTGTTGTTACTGTTTTTCAATGAGTGTTTAAGCTAGATCTCAGAATAATCCTATCTCGATGGCTACTTGGCAGGCTTTCCTAAGAGTAGGTCCCAGCAATGCTGGACAGTTTGTAGATGGGTTTGATTGTAATTTATTTATTTATTTACTTTTTGACCAGCCCAAAGATGCTCCATGTGCCAAAAAGCTTTGGCTCCTTGTTGAGTACAGACCCTGATTTATATTTAGCCAACCAGCTTGGGATATTGGTGCCAGCACCAATTAGTGTTGGCATGTTGTGTTTAGGGTTCCTTAAGGGATGTGGACCTGGCTGGCCATTGAATTTTACATAGTAATTTATAAGTGATGCTAAGGAAACCACCTGTTTTTACCTGCAACAGAAACAAGTTGTAGACATTTACAGAAGGACTATCGTTTTTCAGGACACTTCAGAGTTGTCCAGGAGTTAGATGTCATTTTAGTCCACGTACTTAAAGTTAGCCAACTGATTCTTTGGAATACTCACAACAATGCCACATATTTTGCTAAATGTCCTTGCTATAAAGGAAATGAGAATCTGATCTCTACTCTGACTCTCTAGAGTATACCACTGAACCTGCTCGACTGCAGACTCCTCTTGGGAGGGAAATAACTTGCTCTTTTGTTCAATACTAGCATGACATCCGGGTGGTCGGCTTGTTCACTTTGTACCTCAATTACTGCATCTCCTTTTACTTCTGTTGGCTTCATATAGGGCACTTTCCCTAGAGATCCATTGACTGTGGCCTGGCCTTGGAATTTTTAAATCCCACTTGACCTTTCTCTTCATTCTCAGGAAACAACTGATTGGCCTCGATCTTTTTGCCTGAATCATATCCAGATGAAGAACCTATTATACCCTGGAAACTGAATATGTAGTGAACTTTGTTAGTAGTCAAGGAGTCACTGTTTTGCCCTTATTATTTTGTATTACATACTTTCAGAGAGTCTAATAATATCCTGGAACCAAAATGAAGCCACTTCACCAATTTCTGCAGGTCCTTGGATCTTTGATCTCACCCTTGCCTGTGGCTTCCCGTCCCTTTTCCCTGAATCCTAAAGGGTAAATCTTTAGGAAACCATAGGTGTCAAGGCCTGTCAGATTCTGAATTCAGATTCTTGTCTTTCGTCTCTTTGTTTGGCAGAGGCAATCTAAAGAAAATGTCTGCTCTGGTATCTTTGCTGATCTCTGAAAACAGAGACTTCTCAGGCCCAGAATGTCTCCTGCCTTGCTCTACTTGTGATGCAGGAGACCTGGAGAACTAACAGGCTGGCCAGCCCCCACCCTTAGGACCGTAGCTGAATGGTCCTTGAAGGATTTCCTCAGCAAAAGCTGGTACAGGCTTCTGAATCCCTTTGAACTTCCCACAAGAGTTAGGTGCACTTCAGGGCCTCTGGATGTACCCTTAGATAAGGCTGTTACTAACCCCAACAGAACACACTTTTCAGCTTCTTTCCAAATTCAGGCAACTGGCTTTCCACTAATGCTGCTCAAAGTGTGGGTCCTAGACCCGGCCATCAGATATAGGAACAGAAATTGAAAATGAGGGACGCCTAGGTGACTCAGTGGTTGAGCATCTGCCTTTGGCTCAGGTTGTGATCCCAGGGTCCTGGGATTGAGTCCTGCATCAGGCTCCCTGCAGGGAGCCTGCTTCTCCCTCTGCCCATGTCTCTGACTCTCTCTCTGTGACTTTCATGAGTAAATAAATAAAATCTTAAAAAAAGAGAACTTGAAAATGAATGCTTTAAATTAATTTATTAATTTGTTCTCTATTTTATATATGTGAATGCATATGACATATATATCATTATTTTTTTTTAAGATTTTATTGATGTGGGACATGATCCCAGGACCCCAGGATCACACCCTGAGCCAAAGGCAGATGATCAACCACTGAGCCACTCAGGTGTCCTATATATCATTATTTATGTTATCTGTATCTTATCTATGTTATAATATATATGTATATATATATAAATGCATACATATATATACATACATATACATGTATATTATACATAATAAAATTATGCATATTGTATGTATATACCTACAATATAGATGTATGCGTATATAATTGTGTATATAGCTATATTTTTTCCCATTTCTTTCTTAGGTAGTTTATCTTTATTATAATTTACAAAAAGGGTAGGTCCACAAAATTTGGAAAATAGGAAAAAGAAAGTTCTTCTATGATAGTTTGAGAAGCAACTCAAGCAATTAAGATGCACCTAACTGGCCTTTCCAGACTAAAGTTGTGACCCATAGCAAGTCATTACAACAACGTAGTGGGATTGGCCAGGATCTAAAAAAAACAAATAAAAATAAAGCATTAGAATCTGCTGCATATGTTATTTCATTAGATGTCCACTGTAGTTATGTGTGTATCATATGTATACACTGGGTTATGATGTAAAATTTATTTCTTAAATGGGTCATGGTCAAAATAGTTTGAGAGTTACCAAACTAAAACAAAGCTAATGTGCTCAAGGTGTTAATGACTGACTGAGAGCCAAATTTACATTTTTACATTTGGATTTTCTAAATTCAAAGAGATTATTTTATGGCTGTGTAACCGCAAGTACGTGAGCAGGCCAATTAGGCAACTTTTTGAGCAAGTTCATTGCACTCAGTCTGAAGAGGCCTCCCGTGTTGTCTAACAGTTTAGACTATTCTGGAGATCATCACCAGCATGCTTTGTGCTCCATGCAAGCAGAGAGAAGTTTTTTTATAAGCAGTACATTTTTGGTTCTGCACTTGTCAGCTTTCTCTGCATGGATGTCTCATTTTCATCTTAAATTTACATGGACAAAATCGGAACTCAACTGTAATCCCAAATCTGTTCTTCTGGTTATGGCCCCACCACCCACCAAGTTGCTCAGATGCCAATTCTAGGGGTTTTTTTTGTTTTGTTTTTTGAGGTGGGTTTTTTTTTTTTTTTGGACTCCTCTCATAATTACTCTCTTCATATCCTATCTGATGACAAGTGCTGTGCTCTCCATGTCCACAATATATTCTTACTCTGACCCCTTCCTCCATCTGCCCTAGTACTTCCCTGGTACTTCGACAACTCTAATAGCCTCCTTTTTTTTTTTTTTTTTTAAGAGATTTATTTATTTATTTGAGAGAGAGAGTGTATGAGTAGGGGGAGTACAGAGGAAGAGAGAATCTCCAAACAGACTCCCTGCTGAGTACAGAGCCAGCCTCGGGACTCAATCCCATGAACCTGAGATCATGACCTAAACCAAAACCAGGAGTTGGATGCTATTAACTGAGCCACGCAGGTGGCCCTTTGATAAACTCCTAATTGGCCTGCCCATTTCCTCTCATCTCTCTAATACCCATTCTCTACAAGGTAGCCAGAATGAGCTTTGGATTAAGTTAGACAATTTTATTCTCCTCTTACACGTACTTCATTGGTTTCATATTATACCAAAAATAATGCCTGCACTCCTTGAATGACTCATAAGACTTTACGAAAGCCTTCCTTTGCCTTGGCTCCCAGAAGAATCTCATACTACTGTCTCCATGGTCAGACCCATCAGCCAACTTCTTTCTTTAACTTTAATATACAGAACATATTGCTGCATCAGAACCTTGCACTTATTGTTCCACCTGCCTGGGAATGTTCTTCATCTAGATCTTAATCCTAAACTTGCCTACTTGGACTGATTCCAAAGTAGTACTTTTGTATCATTTGTGTGTAATTACTTCCCAAAAGAAATCAAACATGGATTTTTACTTAATGTTCCAAATGCAGTCTATTATTAAGAATCTTAGCTATCACCACAATGTCAATTTTGGTGCAATGTGTGAAAATTTTAAATTTGTATTACAGGCTAAAGAAATTTGGTAGCAAACCAATGGGATAAGAAAAGTTTGGAATTTTGGGTCTGGTTATAAGGATATGAACTTACGTGAGCAGATAATTTACCATAAGACAATACTTAAATTCAAGCTGGTAGAGATCTGCAAAGCCATGGCTCATAGGGAAGAATGGTGGCTAAATGTCTAGGGGCAGTAAAGTGTAGCAGATAAGAGTGCAGATTCAGAACCAAGGTTTCTGGGTTCCAATCCTTCTGTGTAGCACTTATTTGCTGAGAGAACTCGGGCAAGCCATAACCTCACAGTGCCTCCATATTTTCATCTGGAAAATGAGGAGAATTATTGTACCTAACTCCTAGAGTTATTGTGAGGATTAAATCAATTACTGTAGAAAGTATTTAGAATGGAACCTGGTACATAAGTAAGTTCAGCAATTATGGGGTCTAGGTCCTTCCACAGAAAGGTGTAAAAATAAACCAATATGTTTGACATTATTTTTAGAGTTCTCATGGACAGAAAAGATTTGCATCCCCCCATTCACTCACCAAAACCCACACACTAAAAAGAGGTGAAGAAAAGAAAGTATATTGCTTTTTGGGAAGAGAGAAGAGCAGACATACCCATAGGTCAAGGAAGAGACAAGTAAACCATTCTAAGTCCTCAAATACTGATGGGATTCAGGTCAAAAAAAGGCATAGGTTTGAAAGGGCTCCAAGTAGTCAAATTTAGGAATATTTGAGTGAAAAAAGAAAGAAAGAAAGAGATGAAGGAGAGATGGAAGGAAGGAAGTTAATAATAGACACATTGAATTTTTTAAGGCATAAATCCATAGTGATGGGGGCATAAGAAGGGAAGAGGAAGGAGGGAGAGGAAGGGAGGAAGAAAAAGAAGAGGGAGAGAAGGACAGAGAGATAGTTCTCAATGGAATAACTGATTCAAGCAAAGATCATTAATGGGTGCAAAACCAGTGGGTAAAATGTAAGGAAAATAAAGTATTTACATGGATCAAAGTATCACATCACAAATTAATTCTTACTCCCAAAAGAAAAATCTGGGTGTCAACATTCTAACCAAATGCTCAAAATTACTATCACCCACAGTGGGACAACTGGATATCATGTGTCACTTGATTTGAAGCCATAAACATTATGTAATTCCTACCACCTATGTAGGAGAATACTATACACTACTCACGCCGGAAACATTTATTCTGTGTGTAACATGAGGAAACAATGAGAAAATTTCAGAATGTGGTCACATGTACAAAATCAATAACCCGTACTCTAAAAAACCAAACCAGTCAAAGGTTAATAGTGTGTTGTCTACTTTAGATTGAGGAACTAAGGAGACTAAACAACCAAATGCAGTGCATGGAACTTAATTAGACCTCAAATTTCAACAGAGAGAAGCAGCTATTAAAAACATTTTAGGAGCAATGAGGAAGTCTGAAAAGAGCATAAACCAGATGATATTTAAATATGAAAGTGTGCTAATCTAAGAGAATGTCTGTATTTTGTAGAGATATCTACTAAGGTACACAGAGTTGTTGTGTCATCATGTCTGTAAGTTAAAAAGTTGAGGACAAAAGTGTGTACATTTAAACACGTGTCTGTGTATGTGTGTGATGACATTTTGCAAAAAGTTAAAATTGGCGGAATGATGATGGCTCTGTGGGTGTTCACTTCAGTATTATTTCAAATTTATTATATGTATTTGAAAACGAATGAAAACAAAAATATAACTAAAACAAAAACTGAGCAGCTTCTTACCTGTTGCATTCTGTGCTCCCGCCAGCCTGGCTCTTATTAAGCCATGTCTCTCTTTGAGGCGAAGAATCCGAACTTTTGGAAACTGAGACATGTATTTATCCAAATCATCTTTTAGGTAGTCTATATCAGAATAAGAATAGATGAGGAAACACTTTAAGTAACTAGATCTGGGTAATACTAACAGTGACTCCTCAACATCAAATTCCAAAAACTATGATATTTACTGTAGTCACTAAATTTTATTCCTTGGGCCATGATTTTATTTTCTGATTTATTTTCTTGGATGGATTTTTGTCTGTATTCAATACTACAAAGTATCTGTTTCTCAAGTTCCAAATCCTTCTTTTCAGTGTTGCCAAGTGACACAGAGGAGGGATCAGCTTTTCTGAGTATTTATCAGGACAGGGGCAAATATAGCTCAAAATAAATATTTTATAGGTTATATTTACATGACTTGCAGTCATTTCTATGTGTAATTAAGATATTGTCAGGTATATCAGATAGGAATGGCTCCCAGAAGTACTTCTGCTGCTCACTTTCCTACTGATTTGGGTTTTTTTTTTTTTTTTTTTTCTCTTAAAAAGGGCTCTGAAGACAATATAAGCTTCAGGTCCCTCCAAAGGGTCTTTCAAATCCCTAGATCTCCCATGCATAAAAAGATTATTAGGGCAGCCCGGGTGGCTCAGCGGTTTAGTGCTGCCTTCAGCCCAGGGTGTGATTCTGGAGACCCCGGATCAAGTTCCTCGTCGGGCTCCCTGCATGGAGCCTGCTTCTCCCTTGGCCTGTATCTCTGCCTCTCTCTCTCTCTCTCTCTCTCTCTCTCTCTCTCTCTCTCTCTCTCCCTCTCTCTCTCTCTCTGTGTATGTGTGTCTTTCATGAATAAATAATCAAATCTTTAAAAAAAATTAAAATAAAAAGATTATTATTATTTGCTAGGTGCCTGGATGCTATTTCTATTTATGCTTTTAAGGCCACTTCTTGGAGCACATGGTCTAAGAGAAGTGAAGAATCTTCCACCTTTGCACTCTGTGGAAGCCTCATCTCTCTAGTTCTATTGGCAATTTGTCTTCTCAACACTTAACACATAATGTGCTTTGCTCTTAAAGAAGAAACCATTGGCCTTCTATTTCTTTGTTTTCCAAAAAGTCTAACTTCAACCTGTTATTACCAGTGGGAAAGGCATCCTATTAATTGTGGGGTACCTGCTTATTGGATTTTATAAAATGGTTGAACATCTTCTGGTCTCTGGAACTTCGAAGTGCTCCATTGCTCCAAGAAGCTATGGTTAGAAAATCATTTCTGCATGGCAGAGAGAGGACAGCTGAAAGGAAGTCTGAGACAGCTGACTGAAGATACAGCTCACTTTCTACATCCTGCATATACTTGCTTTTATGCCTCTAAAGGGCCACATGAAACAATGATTTGACATTTTTGCCATCCTCCCAACCTGCTATTGACTCATATCAAACTTTAATTTTCCAGGTGTGGTTTCCTTACCTTTGGTACTGAAGTCATCCACCAGCAGAATCTCCTTGATGAGGTGCGGAGGAGAGCGATTAAGGACACTGTGAACAGACCTCAGGAGAGTAGACCACACTTCATCCACAAAGCACATGATGACACTGGTGGTTGGGAGGTTATTGTGAACTAGCTGCTCTGCACACCTGGGCCGGGACACAAGCAGGACATAGTGATGTGCTAAAAAGAGCCACGAGATGGTTTTAAAAATCACCGAGTGCAATTGTATGTATATATACATATCCTCACATGCTCTATCTGTCCATGGGTCTATCTGTTTATCCACCCACCCATCCATCCATCATCTACTACATATATCAGCGGTGATTTTATCATGTGTTTTTCTTGAGGAAAGGGTATAAGCAACATAAACAAGCAGAGAAAAAAAATGGCCAGTAAGAGTAGCTGCTATAAAAGGACTAGCGATGCAAGACATGAGAAGTTCCTGTAGCAGACAGGGCATAAGCTTTGCAGGTGGTTAGACACTATTTTGAATCTCACCACAATATTTTTCAGATCTTTATCCATTGATACCATACTTAATCTGTGTCTCCAGTTCTTCATCTTTAAAAGTAGGTAAAGGTTCTTATTTAACAAAGCTTTACAGCCTAGTGAGAATGCACATAAAATGTCTAGCACAGCTCCTGGCATAGGAATTCACCAAATGGTAGTTATTGTTGTCTTCATTAGACCATTTGCCACAAGAGAACTCTCTGACTTATTTAACGTTACCAGGTAGTTTATGATTACCCTTGCAACTAGCCTCCTGCCAAGAGCCAAAGGAAATATTCTTTCTCCCACTCTACATGTGAGTGTATTTACGGATATATGTGGAGATGTATAATTAAACTCTTCATCTTCCCTATCTATTTAGGGGTTACTTGCTGGGACTCTCTGTGCTACAGAGTAACCACAGTTGAAATAATTTTTCAGGCATAGAGAGGAGCATAAGGCTACAGTGGGAGCTGGTATTCAGGTGGGTTGGAATTGGTCTTGGTTTTTTTCCATGCCCTGCAATATGTACTGCCTCACTGCTGGCATTCTTCCATCCCCTGTCTGTGTTACTTTTCATAGGAGGAAGCCCAGTGTAACTTCACAAAGACTATTTACCATCCTTCCTACACAGCTACTGTTAGTAATGTCATAATTAAATTACAGTGATCATAAATATTATAGGCACTCTGTATTATTTCAGTTTAAGCCAACAACATCTCTTCCCCTTTTATGGATGAATAATTCAAATCATGGCAAGGCTAGTTCAGGATTACACTGTTGGTAAATGGCAGAGTTGGTTGGGACTCAAACTCTGGTCCGGTCTGGCTCCAGAAATAGCCATGCAGGAAGCCTTAAGTTCTCAAGAATAAAAGAATCTGGCAGCATATGTAGCATTTTGTGGGAGCAGGCACTTGTGCTAGACAATATAGCTACACTTCACTTAGTCTGTAAAAAAAGAAATAGATAAGAGCCAAACCCATAGAAAACCACACTTCCATACATTCACCATTTACCAACAGTACTTAATAAATTACTACTGTGTAGTAACAACTGCTGGGGATCCACATTATTACCCTCTTCTCTATCATAATAGAGCACACTGAAACTGGGGAAGTTAGACGACTTATTCAACATGATTCACCCAGAAAGGGTATGTATGGAAATGTGAACAAACAGTTGGCATTCCATTGCACTAGGCTGATTTTTCTGCACTGAAAGCATGGGTTTTGGAATCAGATATATATGTGGTCAAATACCAGATTCCCTAACTACTGGCTTAGGTAAGTGGTGTAACTTCTTTGAACCTCAGTTTGCCAGAGATTAAGAGCCTCCTAGCAGAGATTAAGAATCAGTTTATTGTAAGATTAGATGCAAATATTTTCTGAAACTCACCTACTATATATCTGAGACACAAGCAGATACTTAAGAAAAGGTAGGCAAACCCAGCTTTGGTCTGTAATTTCAATGGTTCCCTGAAGTGGGTGGTTATGATAGCAACCTGCAAAGCCTTATGAAAATATACATATCCAGTTACCGGCCCCAGAAAATCAATTCAGCAATTCTGAATAGACCCTGAGAATCTGTGTCTTAAAAAACGAACAACATAAATAAAAATCTACAAACAAAAAGACAACCCACAAGTTGTTATTAGGCCAGTTTGGGAACTTGAGCTCTAAGACAAAGTGGATTTAATTATTCTTACCGTTGGTGGATAATCCTAAAAAAAATAAATAGATAAATTGAGGGCTGACAGGAACATGTCCTGATGTAAAATCAAAATGACACATTTTCCTGTTAACGTTAACTAGCAGGCAGCCTAAACTAATCTGATTCTACAGTAGAGATTCATGTTTAGAAATACAAATTGGTATTTGTAAATAATATGAGATATCCCTGACTTCACTAAGGTCTGTATTAGTTTCCTGTGGCTACTATAACAAATTACAAAAGCCAAACAAATAAAACCCAGAAAAACTGCTTATCAGTTTCTTCTTCAATTTATCTTTTTTTTCTCACATTTTACTATGAACAGAAAGGAAATACCAGGCCACACCTTTACCACTCGGCTTGAAATTCTCTTCAGCTACCTATCTAAGTTGATGGCTTGCAAGTCCTGCTTTCCATACAGCTGTCAGACATAATTTCGTCAAGGTTTCTGCCACTATCTTGGACGATCATTTTCCCTCCAATTCCCACTAATGTGTTCTGCATTTCCTTCTGAGCCCTCACAATGCTCCTATTTTTACCAACATTCTGTTCAAGACGACATATGTATGCTTAAAGAGGACAGAAGCTTTCTTTTCTGTACTTCTCACTTTCTCCTAAGCCCTTACCTGTAGCATCTTTAACATGCATGTTTCTACCAACAATTTCTTCAGGGCAACTTAGGCTTTGCCAATCATGCTTCTCAAAATTCTCCCAGATTTTATTATTCAGTTCTTTGAATATTACTTGGATAATACCGTCACATTGTTAGGTATTTGTTACAGCAGCAACCCACTCCTTGAAACCAAAATTATATTAGTTTTCTGCAGCTGCCATAACAAATTTTATGGCTTAAAACAACAGAAACATTCTTTCTCAGTTCTGGAGGCCATAGCATTAATTTATTGATTTTATTTCTTTTCTGCTACATCCAGAATTTCCTGCTTCGTACAATGTGCCACAAGCTTCTAGCACAGTTGGACATAACTAATATTTGATAAATATGTATTAAATGGGTAGATAAAAAATGGAAATGGAATGAAGCTTAAATCAAAACATTAATGGTGGAAGAAGAGATCTTTTTCTTTCAGATAGGAAGAAAAAAAGGTGATAATATATACAGATGAGTTTATGCACAGAGAAGTTGAAAGAATTTGTAGCTCATATTGGAGGAAAGTTTGTTTGTTAATGTGATAGGCTGGGGCTTTGAGAAGAATAGAGAATATCTGGAACAGACACTATGGGTAATGGGAGAGAGAACTGGCCAACTACACATAAAAGGATTTCTGAGGGGCGCTAAGTACTTTACTGAATTTGGAGATCTCAAAATTTTAGTCAAAGTACCAGTGTGATTTGCTCTACCAGGATCTGCCAGCTTGGGCAAAGGGGGAGATAAAAGCAGACTGGTAAATTAATCCAAGTCTAGGGGTTGTTAGAACAAACAAAAGGGAAAGAAAAATGGTAGAGGATTTTAAAGATACTGGTATAAAATGGGTAAAGGTTCCATCGTGGGCTGTATGTTGGGAGAGAGAAAGTAAAACTAAGAGGAGTTTAATAGCCTGACGAAGACATCAGTGACTTCCTATGACTTCCTCATCTCTAACTTTATAACATAAGTGGATGGAAAATGCACACTTTATGCTCAAATATTCCTTACACTATTTTGGTGCTGAGAAAAATAAAAAAATTCTAAAAAGGAAGGGTCAGCCCCTCAAAATTCTGCCTGAGTCACCTGAACCAACAACCCTTGCTGTGAAGTCCTGGGAATTGCTTTATTGTTAAAATTTGGTCGACTTTCGAAAATCTAGTTACAAACGAGAATGCGCTGGGGAGTCAACCAAGCGGGCTAATGCAGATGAATCTTCTTATATAATAAGAAATGAGTAGGTTTTTGGTTTCTTTCAGAAGAAAGTTCCAAGCTCCGCCAAATAGCTGAGCGTCCACCCTCCCCATCCTGTCGTGGTGCCTTAGTTGTACCTACCGTATGGGTAGGGTCACGAAGGATTCCACTAGATGCCAGTGTCCCAAGAAATAAGCAGCACCTATGCCACTTATTGGCAGACATGGATTTCAGATGCATTTAAATAATCCATTGAAAACAACTCTGTGGCAGGTTATATCGTACGGGTCACACTGGAAAAAGGGGCAGCATCGAAGGATGGGGAAGAGGGGCACAGAAGGAGGTGAGAGAGGCTTGAAATATGAAGTTGCAGAGCATGCCTTGCTCTGGGTGGCTGAGATGTCAGGCCACTCTGACATTTATATGTATCTAGTTTCCTGCACAGCTAAGCAGGTTAGACATGTTTCCAGGTGTCTAGAAGAACTAGCAAGCTTGCTTTGTTGGAAGGCGACGTGCATCAGACCAGAAAGGCTTTCCACGTTCACTTTTGCACCCTTCTTAAGTACTGACAGTCATCTAATTACTACAGGTTGTAAAAATTTTTTCAAATTTATCCTCCACTGACCCAACTAAAAGCAAATTTCCTTTTTTCCAATTTGCCTATGGGAAACCCTGCTTTCTGCTGGATTGAGGGGAGGAGCTGCAGCTCAAATAAAGCCTCATTTAAATGCAAGCTATTTCAGGGTTTGTAATCTTTTTTGAGGTTAAGAAATCATATTTTTATTCTATATGCTCATCCATTCCATAAGTTAGGTGGTTAGAGTCCACAGACTCCACACTATACCTAAAAATGAAACCCGTTCTGTTTTGTTTGGGGGAAAGCCTGGACTGACGTTATGACAGCCAATCCAAGTACTAAACACAAACGGGGACTGTCTTGAGGTCCACCGTCCCGCACACGGTTGATGCCACTGCCGTGGAACAGCTTTCTGGACTTCCTCTAGACTTGAGAAAGATGACAAGGGACTGAGTTTTGATTCCTTTCTGACAGTGTCTGCGTGACCATGAGTAACTGTGCACACCTTGCAGTTTCTTTACTTTTAGGGT